GACAAAAAATCGTTTTAAAAATTGCTTTGCAGCACAAAACACAGGAAAGATCAATAGGAAAACAAAAAATTAATGGTTCTAACTTATCGAATAGTAATGACTGATTAGCTATATTCACAGCTAAGCACAACAAATTACAATAAATTTTCAGATTGCAGTTTTTTACCACCACCCTGCCACACCCATTTTGCCACACCCATATTCGCCGAATAACCGAATATTCGTTAAATTTTAAGCCGAATAACCGAATAGGAATATCCGAAGGTTTGGACAGCCCTACTCACAATCTCCTGTGTTATATCTTCAACATCTGGAGCAGTGGTGTCTTCAGTTTCGCTTTTTGCTTGAAGCAGGCATTGTTTCAAACGCGGGAAGACAATTTCATCATCGCTTTCAATAGATCTTATGTACTGGATTTTGTGGATTTTTTCCAGTATTCCTTTCAACGTGAAGTTGACAATCGTTGAGAATACTGGGGTCATCGATCGCAACAGTCGAAAAAGCTGCTCACATGCCTGGGACCCGGACATCCAAACTCTCAACGATTCTTTGGGGAACAGCCCAATAGCAACATTGTGGATCAAGTTCAACAACATATGCCCATTTAGCTCAATACATGTATAGGCATAACCGGTAATAAAATGATCACCTTCTGGCAAACATTTCTCTGCAAGCCATGTTCTCCATATTCGAAGAAAAAATTTGCTTTCCACACCAGTTAGAGCCTTTTAATCGGTTTCAATGACTTGTCGAACATCTAATTCTTGATGTCACGCATCAGCTGTAAGTAAACGACTGTTCCTTGTGTTCTCAGGGAACAGCGAGATTCCTTCAAACACTTCTCTACGGATTCACTGACCAGCAACTCTATGCTCAAGTAATTCTGTTTGTCTTTACAATCAATCGATTTTTGCGTCAGTCCGCGCCTTTCTTTTGGAAACTGCTTTAGAACCTCTACAAGATGACCTCTGCAGGCAACCTCAGCTCCAATGCTCAGAATGTTAGATGGCAAAAGCAATCTTGTTTTCAGTTTTGCCAAAAGGTGAATTGTGTCCTGTGCATAGAGACATTTTGTGCTTAAGGCCGGCATCAAGTAAAAAGTCCATTCACAAGGGACATTTGATCCTTCCTGGACTCCAAACAGCTTGCTTCTCGAAACCATGACCTTTAAAAATGGTCCAGCACCGTCTGCACCATTTTCATCTCTTGAGCCCATCTTCAATGATCTGCCACCGTTTTTCAATCTCAGCATGAGTGTATGTTGAATCAGTACGAAGGACACGGTACGAATAAAGGTGCATCTGCACTGACAGGTTGGACAACTATACAATGAGCGTATGAAGCCACCTTTCTCGACTTGAACGTTGTTTCCAATTCATCAAATGTATGCAAAATAAATTAATTCACCACATGGAATTCCATCTCTTCGATCAGTTGTAGGATCATACTCTACTTTGTTCAGTATTCTGGTGTCGTCTTAATGGATATGTATTGCCTTTGGTGCTTTCCAGTTTTCTAGGTGGTCAGCAAGCTCATTGAAACGAAATTCTCCTTCCTTTATCTTCGATTTGCTTGTAATCTTCCGATGCAATGTCGATACAGTAGGCAAAGCACAAACTAGATTTGCTTGCAACATTTCATATACAGCTTTTCCCACCAAACAAAACAATGATGACGCAAATTTTTTGACAGTGTCCTCATGGCGATAATTTTGGGGACATGAAGTTAGCAAATGCATGCCGTTTTTCTCTGCGCTTTAGAAGAGCTTCTTTAACACTGTTTTCACATCTGCGAACTTATCTTTCCCACTTAACAAATTGATACCCTCTCTGACCTTTTCATTTTCATTAATTATATTCGCTATTCTTTCATGGAAGTACTCTGTAATCTTTCGCTGTGCAGGAGCTGCAGCTGCAGCCTTTAATGCCCGCTGATTTCTGTAGCTTCTGCTTGACCAGCGGGCTGAAGCAAGTTTTTTGGATTGTCCTGAAGATAAAAAAAACATATTAACATTATCAAGCAAGCAAGCCAGCAAGCCAGCAAGCCAGCAAGCCAGTAAGCAAGCAAGCAAGCAAGCAAGCAAGCAAGCAAGCAAGCAATCAAGCAAGCAAGCAAGCAAGCAAGCAAGCAAGCAATCAAGCAAGCAAGCAAGCAAGCAAGCAACCAGCTTTACTTGATAGTGTGGATTGACAGAAGAAGAAAGTTGTTCCTCAACAGCATCAAGGAATTTATTCAGGGCTGTCTGTTGCAATGAAGCAGAAAAAATATATATAACAAATAATAAAGGAAAGCTTATCAAGTGCATGACAGATTGTGTTGCATGCAAATATGATTCAATGACACAATAATTCACTGTGGAAAAAGCACTTACATTAAGGCCAGGCAGCACCCTCACTTTTTCTGGATTTTTATGGAAAATACCAAACATTGCAGTTTTGTCTTCAATGACATCAACCATTGATCTTGCAAATTCAAACATGCCATCTAATTCTTGCGTCTGTTTTAGCTTCACAATGGCAGATTTTGTATCAAAACCACTATACTTCATTATGTTTTTGATGTAATTTCCTGCTGCTGGGATAAGATTCCAGAGTTCCTCTAAAATTTCATTTTGGTGTCCCTTGAAGCGCACCTTGAAGAAAATTTGATGGATTAAGCAAACAAGTTTTGAGAAACAAGCATAACTGCATAGGACTACAATATTTTCAGAGCAATGTTGAAGTGCATGTGCATTTGAATGCTAGTTGCTAAATCATACCTTAAGCTCATTAAGGTCTTCTCGCAACTTGATACAATTGGGATTTTGACACTCTCTGTTGATTGACTCCTCATCTATGAAAAGCATGAGAAGCAGGCTCTTAGACTCAGTGACAGTACTAGAAATAGTTATAGTTGATGGAAAGAAGATGACCTGACGTCAGATCCCTCCCATTCTTTTAATATTTAGGCCCACATGTATTGCTCGTACTTTCATATTGCAACTCTATCCTTGATTACATTTACAGATCTACCATTGTTACAAAATTGTCAAACTGAACTTACCCGAGAAGTCATTATCCATTTCTATATCAAACCACACTGAAACAACGCTAATTGAAATCACATTGAAACAGTTGAAACGACGCTTTCAAAACGTTGATGAACAAAACACATTGTTTTATTTTACATAGCAACTGCTCTTACAAGCCTCGTTTCCATCCAAAAATGGCGCAATATGAGGCTGAAGATTTCGAAAATTTTGAAAAAATTTAAGAGATTTCGAGCAAATCGGGAAGATTTTTCTGGATTTCGTAAAAATCATAAGGATTTTGAAAATTTCATCAGGATTTCAGGGATTGCTGGATTTAAGATGGATTCGGTGGATTTTTGAAATCTTGAAAAGATTTCTGGATTTGATTTTCGATTTCTAAGCAAGGTGTACGAGATTTCCACTCGTGATACACCCCTCGGCTTTAGCCCTGTAACTTATCTTGAAAAAACTGCTAATAATCTAAAAGCAGTTCTGTCTTCCAATGCCTTAGAGGATATCTGTCGTGTTCAAAACCCCTCCTCTAAGGAATTTACATTCTCTAGTTCTTGCGGTTCCTTTAGTCGTATTGATAAATGTTACACTTCTAGGAATCGACCCTTTCCCCCACTCTGATCATGATAGGATCTCTCTTACCCTCAATTTCTCAGCCGCTAAACGCGGGCCAGGTATATGGAAATTAAATACTTCTATTTTAAAAGAGCAAGAATTCATCAGCTCCATTAATAAATTTATCACAGACTAGGAACAATCACAAGATTCTTTCCCCTTGTTAATTGAATGGTGGGAACACAGCAAAACCACTTTTGTTGACAATGCAAAAATATATTCAAGAAACCAAAAGAAACAATTTCTCCGTAATAATTCAGATTGCTCGAACAACTCAGAAATGTGAAAAGAAAGGCAGAGAGTTCAGAGGACCCCCGATTCCTGTAACTTTACAAAAACAAAAGCAACGAAGTTAAATCCCTGGAAGCCTCCAAAGCTGAGGGAGTGAAAATTAGGTCAAAAGCTAAATGGTCCGAACAAGGTGAAAAAGTTACAAGATATTTCTGCTCCCTTGAAAAGAAACGACAAAGCGACCGTACAATGAAATCAATAAAAGATAAAAACGATAATTCCATCTCTGACCCGACCAAATTAGTCTATATAGTCAAAGAATCTTATGCTTCTCTCTATAAAGAAGGGCCAGTCGACTCAAATCTTCAGGATACTCTCTTATAAATTACAAGTAAACGTCTTTCAGAAACTGAGAAAAACATTTGTGAAAACCCCCTTACTCTTGAAGAAGTGAACTTTGCCTTAAAAACTATGGTAAATGGTGAATCTCCTGAAATAGGCAGACTACCGTGCGAATTTTAGAAATTATTTTGGAAATCTCTAGGTAAACACTTCATAAACGTAATTAACTCTTGCTTCGATAATAAATCCCTTACCCCCTCTCAAAGTATTGCATTGATTTCTTGCCTCTTTAAAAAAGGCGAAAGAGAAAACATTAAAAACTGGTGCCCCCTTAGCCTCTTAAATTGTGATTAGAAAATAATTGCCAAAGTTCTAGCAAATCGCCTTTCAAAAGTCCTAACTAGCATTATAGCAGAAGATAAAACTTGCTCTGTTCCCGACCGCTCAATTTTAGGCAATTGCCATGCTTTACAAGACATTATTCAATTATCTGAAGATGAAAATATCCTGGTCGCTCTATTATCTATTGATCAAATGAAAGACTTTGATCGTGTAAATTGAAACTTTCTCCTTAAAACACTTGAAAAATTCAATTTCGGTCCTGTTTTTATTAGCTTGGTAAAACTTCTATACACTAACATTGAAAGCAAAGTTAAATGTAACGATTTTATTTCTGACTCTTTCACTCCTAGCAGAGGGATCAGACAAGGTTGCCCCCTCTCTGCGCTTCTTTATGTTCTCATTGCTGAGGTGTTTGCCGCCAATGTCTGCAGTGTCCGCCTAAAACAAACAAAGATAAAAGTTAAAATTATACAATACGCAGACGATACCACCCTTCTTCTTCAAGGTAACCAATCTTTACTCGCAATTGAAAATCACATTGCGAACTACGAAAAAGCCTCTGGAGCTAAAATAAACAAAGATAAAAGTGAAGGCCTCTGGCTTGGTAGCTTTAAAAACCGCCTTGATTCCCCTCTATGTTTTAACTGGAAAAAGAAATCCCTCAAAATCCTTGGCCTCTATTTTGGTACCGAAGACATGAATAAACTGAACTGGGAACCTAAAGTGTTCAAATTTACAGAAACAATAAATCTTTGGAAGACGCCACGCAACCAGATGCACAGCCTGTTAAGAACTGGTAAGATACCTTGTCATTCCGACCGGGTACTTACTTTTCTCCTAAGTTTTCTTGCACTCTCCCCCCTTTTCCCATTCCCCCTGGCGATGCTTACGTCCCAGCTTCTTCTAAGAGGTCCTTCTAGGTCCGCCATGTGAAGGCCCTCTACCAAGAAGAAGTCAAAGGGTTGTCCAGCTCGGCAACCTACCTCTTCCTAATAACCGATGATTTTGGTGCTCCCCTCCCCCAGTGAGTGATGGCAGCTATTAATATAATATCAATAAAGGTTCACGAACTTAGGGACCATGTTAAGTGTTCCAACGTAATTGACTGGCTTAAAACTAGGAAAGAGTCTGTCATATTTTTGCTACAGACTTATTACTCTGAGCACGCAGACACCACCTTTCTAAAATTCATCTGGAAAGGATCAATTTTCTCATCATACGGAGGAAAACATAGCAGAAGTGTAACCACCCTCATAAAGGTCTCTACTGGTCAAAAATTCCAAAATTACTCATAATAATGGGTCTTGTAGAAGTTTTAGTAACATCACCTATGATTGGCTAAATTCAAAAATTCTCATTTACATAACAATAGAGGAAAATAGGAACCATATATGACCCAAAAAAAAACACCATAGAAACTACAATAAGCAACCCTAAGAAGCACTACTTAGTACCATTTTAAACAACTTGATACTTGTGTATTCCATTCTCATAAACAAGGTACCAAGGGTACCGAGGGTCCCGAAGGTACCAGCACATAGAAACTCATACAGACTCTTGAGAAGTGTCAAGGTACCGAAAGGTCCCAGTACTTAGTTTCATTTTAAATAACTTGATATTTGTGTATTCCATTCTCAGAAACAAGGTACCAAGGGTACCGAGGGTCCCAAAGGTACCAGCACATAGAAACTCATATAGACTCTTGAGAAGTGTCAAGGTACCGAAAGGTCCCAGTACTTAGTTTCATTTTAAATAACTTGATACTTGTGTATTCCATTCTCATAAACAAAGTAGCAAGGGTACCGAGGGTCCCGAAGGTACCAGCACATAGAAACTCATATAGACTCTTGAGAAATGTCAAGGTACCGAAAAGGTCCCAGTACTTAGTTTCATTTCAAATAACTTGATACTTGCGTATTCCATTCTCAGAAACAAGGTACCAAGGGTAGCAAGGGTCCCGAAGGTACCAGCACATAGAAACTCATATAGACGCTTGAGAAGTGTCAAGGTACCGAAAGGTCCCAGTACTTAGTTTCATTTTAAATAACTTGATACTTGTATATTCCATTCTCATAATGAATAGCCTAATTTTTATTTTATATGAGGTAAGTCGAGGAATAAAGAAAATTGTTGGTTTCATCAATTTGTAGAATATATATAGTGATTATATTATTGTCAGATTTAGATTTTTTCTTGTCCTAAAAATTTATTGTTAAAGTTAATCTCTTTGCAATTATTTTCCTTTCCTCTTCTTGTTGATGGGCCTTTTTTGTTGTTTGTCTTGCATACAATCAATACAGAGCCTGAGGATGAGGAAGAAAATCTATATGTATCAAGTGTGATATATATGATGTATAAGAATGGATACAATTTCGATCTATAATCGGAATAAAGGATATATATTTTAAGCCTAAAATTTCGTGTCAAAATAATTGATGCAAATAGTGAAATGAGTTCTTCTATAGATTTTGCCCGTGCTGCTTAGACAATTGTAACTTGTAACTAGAATCGTGAATACAGAGCATTTTGATGCAACCTTCTGGTAGTTTGTTAAAATTTAAGCTGTAAAACAATGCTGATATGATGTATTTGAAAATTATTTTTGCTTACCAGTCGCCTTTAGGGATATGTTTCATCTTGAGGCATGAGAGGTGATACCAGTTATTTCCGACACACTAAGACAAACATAAGTCTTATTTTATTCATCTATTAAAAGTTTTCAACAAGGGATATTTTGTGTCGAGAATATCAAAAAGGTACATAAAAAGCACGAGTAGTTCAAGGTCGTGAATCAACACAAGGATTATGAATCAACACAATAATTATTTGTTGATGGATTTTTGAAAAATTTGAACCTCTGACTTTGGCCCTGAGCATTGAATCATTCTGCCTCTTTTCACCTACCGGAAAGTAAAACAAAATTTAAAAATTTATCATTATGATTGCCATATTTGCATTATGTTATGATTATAGATACGCTGAATGTTAGACATATTATTTATCAATCAAAATTAGGGAGATGCATTTCTTGAGTTTTTGTTACATTGGCAAACTCCAATAGCTGACATGCAACACGCCAGAACAATCAAAGATAGGTATCTTTCACTTACAACTTTACAGACGCAATATTTTGATGGTTTTGTTTCCTTTGGCTTCCCTGTTTCATGTGAACCTACAAAAGTAGAAATGATACACTACTTCCAACCCGTTTCTAGATTACGGAGACTGAACAAGTGGATCATAATGATAAAAAACTCATTCAATCTGTTCAGGCTTGATTCGTTTGCAAGTGACAAAATTTAAAAGGTTTGATATGGTTCATGATTCATAAGAGTGCTATATGTTGCAAGTAGCTACTTAACCTTTAGAGGACTGGGTTTTTTTTGCATACAATATACTTGCATCAGAAAAGTCTTTCTTGGAAGAATAATGGTGCATTATGACCCAGTAAAGTATATATTTTTGAATTGCCAGTTTGTGAAGTATTCCAGAAAAAAATTATTTAACCTAATTAATGATCACGTGATCTCATTAATAATTCAAAATGGCTGACGAAAAAATTTTTTCCCCATCATTTCAATAATTTAGGAGCCAAAAGAGGACATTGTTCTGGTCACTACCAAAGCAAATTGCATTTACTATAAAGTTCTATCATCAGAAAGTCAGGAATCCAAATTATATTCAATTGTTTTATTATTTCAGTAAATTATTGCAACTAAAGAATCATCTGGCTCTGAACCGCTTGACTCGTGTTCTTATTTTGATACCAGTTGCTATCACAAGAAAATTACCTATCCCTGAAGTAACTTACAGGAAATAAAAAAGGAAACCTTTCAAGAGAAATAATGTTACTTATAGCCAAAAGATATTGCTATGACCAAACTTTCAAGAATTCTCGATATTAGGTAAAATAGCAAAACAATAGTTCATTCAAAAAAAGTTAGTATGCAAAAAAAAGTTTATGAATTGAGATGTTCAGTAATCAAATGATTTGAAAGAGTTCCAGTAAATTAGACTCTAGTATGCCATAATTTAAAACAGTTCCTATCTTTATTCAAGCAAAGATGTACATTGCACATCTCACAGGATATGTATGTTACATGAACCCCTGCAGCACGTCGATCAATTTTGCCAATCTTTCCACCTCTGCTTGACTTCACAGTTTCTTTGCATAATTGGCAGTCTTTTCTGTCTGTGTTGTACACAGGCAGATGTACTCCTACATTCTGAAATCTGAGCTCATTTTCATGTGCTACAGATGGACGACCTACAGTGCGCTTTCTTGCACGGTATTGCCCTATCAGCAACTCTATCAGCTCCTCACGAAAGTTTTGACGCTTGGGAGTTTTCTTGCCAACTTCATGAGGGATGAAGCATGATCCCAAGATGAATGCATTATGTATGCACAGCTCAAGAATATGGAAAAGCACCCTCCTGTACCATTTTCTTGACCTTCTTCCAATGTTGTAAAATTTGATCATGTGATCGCAAAAATCGACACCACCCATTTTCTTGTTATATGGCTGCACAATAGGTGGGCAAGGTATTTCAACTGCTCCCGTGTGTCCTTTTTTACCACGGCGCTTCACAACTTTTTCTTTATCCTGGATATCATCTTTGTATTCTGGCTCATGTATTGTAGACAAAAAATGTACCCCTTTGTTGTCAAGCCATGATGTGGCCAAAATACTTCCATTCATTCTCCAATCTGAATATCCACGATCTTTTCCTCTTTTACTTGCAATCACTATTTCCTTCGGAAATCCGCTTCTGTCCACTCTGGCTGTTCCACTTGCATAAATTCCCTTTTCCTCTAAGGATTTGAGCAACCAAGCCTTGGTGTAATAATTGTCCAAGTACAAATGATGATTTACATCTTGGTAGCCTTCAGTGAGCTTCAAAACTACTTTCTCTGCTAGGCCTTTTGAAATTGTTTGGTTAGCATCTTTCCCTGTATAGATGACAATCTCACTAACATACCCAGTGTCAGATTCACATAACACAAAGGCTTTGATGCCAAATCGTGCCCTTTTACTAGGAATGAATTGACGAAAGTAAATTCTTCCTTTGTATGGGATGAGGCTTTCATCAATGCATATGTCTCTGGATGGTTTATATACATTTCTAAACCTGTCAGAGATCAAATTTAGAAAGGACCTGATTTTGAATAGAGGATCATGACCATCTTGTCCTCTTGGTATTTGCTGATTATCATTACAAACATGCAAATATCTATACAGCTGCAAAAACCTGTCTCTTGGCATTACCTCTCCAAAAGAACTGACATGTATAAGCCAATTGATCTTTCTCCAATAGTCCTTTATTTTAGGCAATTTCAACAAGCCCATAGCTAGTAACAACCCAAAGAATGCCTTCATCTCTGCTACATTTATGTTCTTCCAAGAAGACACATTTTTGCCAATAGCATTTGCATTTGTCATGTCAACAAGTAATTGCCATACCTCATCAGTGAAATACTGCTCAAAAAAAACTTTAGATGATAATTTTTCTGGGAGGCTTGTCCTTCTCATTTGTGGGCCTTGTTTTCCAACAAACAGTGGAATTGCCCTTTCAGAGCATGTTTTGTTCCAGTTTTTATCATTAGCCCACTTCGAGTGCTGAGACTCTTCCTTTCTTGATTTCTTGGATGCCTTGCTAGCAAGATTTTGGCTTTGAGCATGAATATGTTTTTTCGGTCGGCCACGTGTCACATTGCTTACTGCAAATCTTGAAACGGCTTTTCCTTTTCCAATTTTCCTTGTCTCTTTCCCTGGTTTGAAAACATTTGTTTCTCTTTCCAATGAAATTTCATCAGGACTTTCAGATTCTAAACTTTCTGACTTTTCATCTACCTCTTTCTCCAAACACAATGACGATGGCCTAGGCGTTACAACTGACCCAACTGCAACCTCACTTTCTGATAAATCCATGGACTCACAAGATTCAGATTCTGATAAAATCTCACAATTAGAGTCTTCCTCATCGTTTTCTGATATTTCGCTGGCATCACAGCTACTTATATCATCAAAAACAAGCAATGCTTCCGCTGCGTCAAACTTTCGTTTTGAATGCGACGCCATGTTGAATTGAAAAATCAGGTGAGATTTTCATCTCGCGATATTTGGTCTTGTTTCCATGTCAACAGCATAAACATGAACAGATATACCACAGGTAGTTCAGAGAAATGTTTAAGCATCTGCACAGCCTATAGTGAGGAATTTTTATCAGGTTTATATGACATCATTTCAAGTGACGTCATGTTGTCACAGATCTGTGACTACCGTCCCCTAAAGGTTAAAGTATCACACTCACTGCTCTGGCTCGACAACTCGAACAACTCAACAACTCGATAATTTCTTCATTTTCCCCTTAGTTTTGAAGCATTAAATGTTATATAGAGAAGTCAATCTAGTCATGTGTAAAATTACCATAACGTTGTAATAAGGTGAAGCGCATAGATTTGTTATTCCTTACTGATCTAGAAATGAAGTTTTAGTCAATTACAATTAGGATACATAAAGGAATATAATATGTTGTAAACACGTACTTGCATCAGGAATTGGCGTAGAAGTAATAGGCTCTTCTGGCTCTAGATGTGGATGCTCGTCCTCATTTTGCATACCTAAAATAGGAGCACCATAAAATATACATGGTGAGTCGAGTGATGAATGGGGAAATTGTAACATTTGTATTATTTTTTTTTAATTCTAGACTGCTAAGACAAGTTTGAGAACACCAACCGTCCCTTCTGCAAAGAGTCTTCTCTTTTCTTGGCGCTGCTCCTCTCTCCTACTCTGATAATCAATTCCCTTCAAAATAAATTTTGTTTGTGAGATTAGGAAATATCTTTAAAAAAGTCCACTCTGTCGAAAAACATCAATTGATGAATTCTTTTCTTGAAAGATGATTGTCATATTTGATTCAATAACAAATATTAAAAGTGTCATAATTCATACCAACTGAAATGCAGCCCTTCTTTTTGGAGTGAAGAGCAGGTATTTCTGCTTGGTCTCTGGAGACAGGTTTTCCTGCAAACGAAACAATTTCTACAAAGGTAATATACTTAAAAAGCTCGGTTGAATACCAAATTGCAATTACAAGTGTCATAAATAGATCAATAAAGCAATAACAATTGTGAGCTAATTGTGCATTTCATCTATTACGCTCAATTTTTTAAGAACACGAGCCTCAAAATTGGTCAAGAGTTAAGAACAAATCATGTACAAGCTAAGGCTGAGCTACTGTAAAATGCAATTTTTAACAAAGTTTTATCTCAGAAACGAGGATTTTTAGCCATGTTTGGGTGCTTTTTCGGTAGTGAATATTCAAACTTGGCAGCAAATGAAGGTTGCCTCACCCACTTTGTTGACAAATGAGGCCTGAACACTTCCCTAGAGCGAAAAAGCTAGCAATTGCACTGCTTACACCCTCAGCTTCAGATTTTCGAAAAAATTAAGAACTGTCAGCCTGAACTCAAATTTAGTGGTTCTTATAAAAAGTGAGTGTATTTGATGAATCATCTGATTGCTTACCACAAAGTTCACATCCGCGTTTTCTTTTCTAAGGCTTTCATACTGCAAAGACTCTAGGGCAAGAAAATAATTCTTGTTAGCGATTTCAAACTGATGACTTATCAAGGTTTAGAAATTCCAGGTATAGCAATTCGTATGAAAAAATCAGTAACATGAAGACATTTCGGTTAAGACTTTAGCAAGATTCAATTCAGTACCGTTTTTCCCAATCTATAAGTCGACCCTTGAATTTTTTACTAAAAGTGCAAAGAACTGGTCTCTTTCATTGCGAACTTTCAATATTTCATTAAGAACATATATACTATTGCGTTTTAGCTGACAAAAATCACGATAATCGCGAAAGAAAGAATTTCTGTTCCAAGAACCGCAGTTCACACTCTCCTATCAAAAGTTGTCCAAACGCAAAATTGTTTATGCTAAAATTTCTTGTAAACTACCATTACAAATTCAAAGCAAGCTTTCTCAAGGCTTTTCGTATTGTACAGACCTAGAAACTCGTCTTGTATGCCGAGAAATAAGGTATTGTATAATCATATAAAAATATATAGCCGTACTGGTTATTTGTTTGAAGAAATGTATTACATACTTACCAATAAGCCTTTTTTTTATACAATTTTCAATGTCTTTGCATGTCGATTGGTGATCATCCCTTGGTTCCAAAAAGGTTTCATTTTCCTCACACAAAGGCTCTTCTCCACCTGTGATCCCTGGTTAACAAAAATTCCAGTTAAGAAAATATCCAAAACAAAGTTGATATAAGAATGTCACCCAGCAATAATCTTTCAGCAAAGGAATACAGTTCAAGCGTCATAATTGATATCGGCTCTCTCTAGTGATTTCGATCCCTAATGAGCAAATATTAATTTTTTAAAATGGCTTTGAAAGAAGAAAACGTTTTGAAATACTTTTGTGTTTTGACTGACAAAAATCATGACAATCGCAAAAGAAAGAATTTCTATTCTAAAAACCGCAGTTTTCTCTCCTCTAAAAAGTTGTGCAAACGCAAATCTGTTCGTCTGATACTGTTCGTCTGATGCCTTTTTATATAAATGAAACTTGATTGGTAGACTGATATTGTGGGGGAAGTAGAGGTAGGGTAAAAGGACATTCAAAAGTTTTATTTAAGATATCTGTTACCGTATTCCAACCCATGCAGCTTGAAAAGGAAGATATAGGGATTTTGTGTGCTATAGAAAAAAAGAAGAGAGGTTAACAAATTAAGTAGTTCTATTGATCTTTGTTATTTGGATTAGTTAAGAACATCAACAATATATCAAATGTTCACAAAAGTTATTGTAAGAATCATTGAATAATTTGTATTCGATTAGACAATTGACACTATAATTGAGCTGAATGCTGGTAATGAATGTTCACAATGATTGTAAATCTACATTTTTTAAAGATCAGCTCATCAGTTAATACATAACTATCCAGGCTTTGTGGCTGTGCTCCAGACTCCTAACTTGAAGGTGAGGGGTCTGGAACACAGGCCAAGATAATAATGCTTCTTTGGAGTCATTTAAATATGTATTATATGTATTTTCTGATTAGAAGTCCTATCTATTTCAAAATGAGTTATGAATTTTGAATTAACTTTTAGTAAGCTAAATTGTGTATAAGTTATTTTAACTTTCACCTTTTAAGCAGGTCGTTAGCTCTGGATCTCTTGCTCTTTGTTGAGATTTTGTTATTTTGGCATTGTTTTTGGCAAAGTAAACTGGTCTCCCGATGCCTTTCTCAACCTGCCTTGAAATTTCTTGTTGTAGTTCCTTTGAAATAAGGATTTCCAGTTATTAAAGCTTCAAAAGCCAACTTTTACAAAGTAAACGAAAATAAAATATTTTGGCTTTTGAAAATCTTAAAAGTCGTAAAAACGAAAATGGAAATCACCATGAAGATGTGATATTTTTTAAACGGATGTGTTCTTCCAAATCCAAATTTACACGTAAAATCCAAAGATGATGCGTGTAAATATCGTGAAATGATGTTGTATGTAAAGATTGGTTTGCTAGGAACATGTTCGGCATGGACATTTCCACGAGGTTCAGAAGGCTAACATGAGCTAATTGTCAAAATGTTGTACCATTAAAATCGAGCGAATCTGAAAACATTGGTAGGACTTTGACAAAATGATTAAAAAGAACGTTATACCTCCTTCCGCACATCTAAGAACTCTTCTCCAAAGACGGTGCAGCGAATGGCAAGGCAAGGAACAAATCGTCCTTTATCATGGGACTTAACCGTTGTTTGCCAGTTAAGCCACTGTAAGATCTGTGAAAACCAAGATTGTAAGCTAAATTATTCTACTTGAGAAGATAGTCAAAGCCGCTACAGATGACTTGTCTTAATGTGCAATAGCCTGTTTGCATTGTCAAAGAGACTTTATATAATCATTATATTTCAACGCAGGTATGAGCAATGATTGAACACTACGTGACTTACATGGGCATCCTTTGACTTCGAAAACAATTAACAATTTCCTAATTCATCTTTCGAAAACAAATCTATAATATTCGTCTCTTACAACAGTTTTTCCACTTCGTTCCAGGTCTTCCTTTTGCTTTTCCACAACTTTCTCATTTTGATAGAATTCCATGAGGACATTGTAGAAATAATGCATATGGAAGCTCTGCATGCAAGCCGATCTTAAACGTTTTCTGTTTTTCGTATTATTCGCCGATTCTTGGTAGCTAGTTGCTAGGGAAAATGCTTGTTCACTGTTGTCAATATTGTGATACAAGCATAGATGAGATTTATGTGGATGGACAGTGGAGTGAAACCTATCTCCAACAACATATCTTCTACTGCTGTTTGTCAACGGATGGTCATACTCTCGAATCTCATAGGAACGAGCGAA